CTTTATATTTATATGAAGTTTTTGTCTTTAAATTACTCAAAGAATCGTCTATTAAATTTACTTTTTAACATCCTATGCAACACGTTGTATATCGGTCCCTCCTCCATGTCGCTTGGACACTACTTCTTAAATAAAAGCAGCTGTTGACTGCGCACTTCGGTAAAAAAAATGTCAGGGTCTTCCGTTCCACCTTACTGTAACCTAATGTCAAGCTATGTTATATTCTACGAGCTGCATAACAAGTGATAAGAAAATATGAACCCTCGTTGAACCTCTCTAACAACCGTTGATCTGATCGGTCTATTCGTCAGACCGCATCGGGTGTTTTTACGCCTATCGCATTTGCATTTGTAGCGCTTCCATCATCTTGATATCGCGCGCTGACAATAACCGAGTTTAAATTCCAATTTTCATATTCAGAATGATAATGAGTTATACACTGCAGGCTCGTTCTTCCTTTATCGGCATAAATATCAAGCCGGCGTTATAACCGAGCTCTCTAATTGGCAGAACTACTTATTTATTTTCCATTATTTTCGCGCAGGATGAGCTTTACTGTAATTTCGAATAATGGAAATACCACGCGAGATACCCGTTGTGAAAAGCTGTAGATTTGCGGTACTTTTGCATTTCTCTAATGTCGACGCCACAATACTGAAGGAGGTTTTGGATGATTTTGTCACATGTAGGGGCTACTTCATTTGTGATTCTACGCAGTCACTTTGTTTAGTTATACTAAATGACGTAGAAAATACAACGCCGACTAGGAGTGCTGTAATTTTGAGCATACTTTTACCTCTCTGAACATCAGTGATTTATATTGAAATGTTGAATACAGTCGTGAAAAAACGACGGTTGCCTTATAAATAAGGGTACATTATCGATGTAATATTATGTCTTTGTGCTTTAGAATTAGGATAACTTTCATAGAATTTCAAATTTTTATCATTTCAGAAAAGACGGTTAGTTATTTAAATGGACCAATGAAATGAGAGAAATAATAGTTCGATTTTCTAGCTATTATATTTGGTAGGATATTTTTCACTGTTTTTTACGACTGTTCATGCATGGCAATCTAGTTTTGCCTGTATATTACGTACAGGGTGTTGCACATGATACGTACCTGTAGAAACGTATCGATTTTTGTTATTTTGAAAAAAACTAAACTAAACTAAACGCTTATAAAACAATGTATGTGCATTTCTACAATAGCCAACGATATCTTCTCAGACGGAACCGAATTCTTAGGAACTCATATTGATGGGAAGTTGGGCTGGCAGTCACATGTGAATCATGTTATTAAGAAACTCAACAGTGCATACTTTGCAATCTTGAAACTCAAACAAAACATCTCCCAAACAGCTCTTATAGATATCTACTACGCCTTGGCTTACCCGCATCTTAGCAATAATATAATACTATGGGGACAAGCAGTCATGAACAACAGAGTCTTCATCTTGCAGAAAAGAGTACTCAGGCTGATTTTCAATATCAACAAAAGAGACTCTGGTAAAGATATTTTCAGAACATATAATCTGCTAACATTAATATCCATCTATATACAGGGTGTCCCAGAAGTCGACGTCAAGCCGAAACCGGGTGATAGGCAAAGTCATAACAGCTATCAGAATAATATTTAAAAAAAATTTATGTATGCGTTTTGAAAATTATAGGTCTTTGAAAAAAATATAGAAATTTCACACCCTACGGCAGTCTGTCAACTCCTGTTACTACAAATATTAACTTTTTTTGGATTTTATTTTTACAATGTAATGATGAATGATGCATCTTCAAACTGGTGTCTCAACCTTACTGCCAACTTTTCTCGTTCAGGAAAAATTGCCACTTATTTCCCAACCAAGTATTCCAAAGTAAAACTTTGCTCAACTTTAACTGGCTGTACTGGAAAAAATGTACTACGAGAGTTGGACAAGTAACCTTAAAAGTTGGCGCATTTAATAACGATTCCAAAATGGTATAACACTTAGAAGATTACTTGTTAACTTATGCACAATTTTTATTTGAAGAAAAACTGATGAAAATTTTTCAAAATTTCCTAATTAAACAGCGATTATGAAAACGCACAAGGACCCTTAAGGATAACTGTTTGCACAACAGTCGGCGTCAAAATGCTGCTGATGATGGTACCTCTCACAGTAAAGTCTGCATTCCCCATAAATGAGGTGCATGTTAGCATATTCTTGTACGGTGTACACGGACATAGCGGCACTGCACAATCACACTATCAAAGATAGTCTAAGGAAAGCAAATGTTGTTTTGAAGAGCAATTAAACAGTCCAAATCCAAATCACAAGCGATCAACAGTCCAGTTCACGAATCCAAAATTAGTAACAGTACGAAACCAACAAGCATGAACATGTAAAGATGCGCAGTAAACGAAGGAGTACTGATCGGTATCAAAGTGTGCAATAGCAAGTAAGTGATGTGCTTCATCCATATCACATACAGCGTGTTCAACCTCTCTGCCCGGGATTATAAGCCCCGAGTTACTTTTTGTCGCACAATGTTAGAAAGACACAGGAAAGATCCACAGTTCTTTGAAAAAATTTTATGGTCGGATGAGACCACATTTAAGAAAGATGGGTACATGAACCTGCATAACTTACACGAGTGGCACGTAGCAAACCCACATTTGATGACAGAAGATAAATCTCAATATCGCTTCAAGATAAACCATTGGACAGGAATTTTAAATGGTAAAATAATCGGTCCGTTTAAGTTCCCAGAGACTTTGACTGCTGAATTTTATTTGGATTTTTTGAAAAATCATGTACAAAATTTATTGGTGGACGTGCCACTGAGTATCTACAGGGACATGTGGTTTCAGCATGATGGCTGCCCAGCGCACTATGCACTCTCAGTGAGAGAGTATCTCGATCAAAACTTTCCAGGCAGATGGATAGGGCGGTCTGGTACAATACCGTGGCCAGCCCGATCATCTGATTTGAATCCTTTAGATTTTTTTACTGGGAAACTGTAAAAGAAAAAGTGTATTTCAAGCCGATTCAAAATGTAGCTGAGCTACGGCAAAGACTATTGGAAGCAGCTGAGCTTGTTAATAACCGTGGATTCGCTCGTTTAATAACCCGATCTTCTTTAAGAAGATGTCGAGCGTGTATTGCTGCTGAAGGAAAACAGTTTGAGCATTTGCTGTAAAGGTCAATCATCATCAGCAGCATTTTGACGCCCACTGTTGTGCAAACGGTTATCCTTAAGGGTCCTTGTGCGTTTTCATAATCGCTGTTTAATTAGGAAATTTTGAAAAATTTTCATTAGTTTTTTTTCAAATAAAAATTGTGCATAAGTTAACGAGTAACCTTCTAAGTGTTATACCATTTTGGAATCGTTACTAAATGCGCCAACTTTTAAGGTTACTTGCCCAACTCTCGTAGTACATTTTTTTCCAGTACAGCCAGTTAAAGTTGAGCAAAGTTTTACTATGGAATACTTGGTTGGGAAATAAGTGGCAATTTTTCCTGAACGAGAAAAGTTGGCAGTAAGGTTGAGACACCAGTTTGAAGATGCATTATTCATCATTACATTGTAAAAATAAAATCCAAAAAAAGTTAATATTTGTAGTAACAGGAGTTGACAGACTGCCGTAGGGTGTGAAATTTCTATATCTTTTCCAAAGACCTATAATTTTCAAAACACATACATAAAAATTTTTTTAAATATTTTTCTGATAGCTGTTATGACTTTGCCTATCACCCGGTTTCCGCTTGATGTCGACTTCTGGGACACCCTGTATATAAATGCGCTCTTTTCGCATTTAAACATAGGACCAGTTTTATCCAAAACAACACAGTTAACAGGCGCTACAACACCAGAATAGGTTTTGACTTAAGTATACCAGTCCACGCAACAGACCAGTTTCAGAAATCACCACTCTATGCCTGTACAAAAATTTACAATAAACTACCAATTGACTTCCGCAGAAGCATTAATATGTTGACATTAAAGAAATGTCTGAGAAGATATCTATCAGAAAAGTGTTACTACACTGTCGACGAATACCTAACTGCTTAATTTTATTTATTTATTCTTTTTATTTATTTATTAAGCTTAATGGAAAAGAAACAGTCTATTTATTGCTCCTCTTCTAGGCATTTTAAGTGCTCAATTGTTTTTATTTATTTAAAATTGATTTCTTTTTTCATGTTCGTTAGATGTCATTAAGAATTTGTTTGTGTTTGTAATGACTCCTATTTTATTTATCTATTCGTTTATTATTTATTATCTCAATTACTGTTTTAATTAACTACCTGTTCTTTTTTGCATATCGCATACTTATGTATTGTATTTATATGTAATGTTGACAAGTCTTATGTCATTGCTATTTATGACCAAAAGACAATAAAGACTAACTATCTATCTAAAACGTATTCCAACTGGTTCATCATCTTTTGTTACATCAGAAACAATTTTTGACAATTTATGATCTAGAAATCCACGCCTAATGTAAACAAACAGCACATTCTGCATTTCTGGGTCCTAAAATATCGATAGTTATAAAAGTATCCGCATCCACCTATTATTCATCGTCTAGATATTATAAGTCAGAATCAAAAATACCTATTTATGAAAATATATCGCCAAACATTGTTATATTTTCTTATTATTTCTATTATTATAATACTTCTGGGATATCAATTGCTTTTAAAGTGATCTGCAGTGTTGCCGAACCGGCAAAAAAGAAACGGAATCGGTAAATAATAGTGTCGTTGATTTCGGTACAGTAGAACTCCAATTATCCGAACTCCGACTATCTGAATCGCCGATTATCCGAATCACTTTAAATTTGTCCAAAGTCCGCGGCGTCAGTGTAGGCACAACAACACGTGGTATGAGTCCCCACTCCAGTTCCGGCACATTGCAGTCACGGCGCACCAATATAGTCAGTGTGCTATTGACCTTGCTCGAGGACGCTACTCTTTCGCTACGGCTTACAATACTATTGTACTGTATTGTTTTTCACCATGGCTTCGAAAAGAAAACGTGTTGTGCTATCGTTAGCGGACAAACTGAAAATTATAGAGCAACTCGATAAAGGTGTAACGGGTAAGAAGTTGTCTGAGATTTATGGTGTTGGACAAGCAACAATTTGTGACATTAAAAACAGTAAGTCAACACTTTTAAACTTTGTTTCGGTGCTTGAAAATGAAGATGGAAGTTCCTCCAGGAAAACAATGAAGACAGCAACCAACAAAAATTTGGAAGATGCCGTGTTTAAATGGTTTTTGCAGCAACGTTCTATGGGAAATCCGATTTCAGGTCCAATCCTTTGTGAAAAAGCCAAAATCTTAGCAGAAAAGCTTGGTTATTCATCTTTTAAGGCTAGTAACGGCTGGCTAAGGAACTTTAAATTCAGGCATGGTGTACGCGAGTTAGATTTGGCTGGTGAGAAGCTTTCAGCAGACTCTGCAGCTGCTGAAAATTTTATTGAAAAATTTAAAACTGCAGCAGAATCCTATGATCCGGAGTTTGTTTATAATGCCGATGAAACTGGCCTTGTTTGGAAAGCATTACCAAAAACCACTTTGGCTTCTAAAAGGGAATCTAGTGCCCCTGGACATAAGGTCAGTAAAGAACGTGTTACAGTGCTTAACTGTGCCAACTCCACTGGAAATCATAAACTACCACTTCTTTTGATAGGACAATCAAAAAATCCAAGAGCATTTAAAAACGTAAAAAAACTTCCACTCTTCTACAAAAGTCAACCCAAGGCCTGGATGACTGCAGCTTTGTTTACCGAATGGTATGATGAAGTGTTTATTCCTGAAGTGAAAAAGCACCAAAAATCGGTGGGAAAAGAAGGCAGTAAGGTGCTTTTAATTGTTGATAACGCACCCACTCATCCTACAGCAGAACTGTTGGAAAGAGAGAAAGGGCAGTTTAAAACGACGTTTTTGCCTCCCAATGTTACAAGTTTGCTGCAACCCATGGACCAGTCTGTTATTGAAACAATGAAGCGCCATTACAGAAGGCAACTGCTGAGAAAACTGCTGATCGAAGGTGCTGAAGATGAAGAATTGGTTTTGGCAAATCATAGCAAAATAAATTTAAAGGACTGCTGTTACATGGTAGCGGAAGCTTGGAGTTTGGTTACGGCAGTGACGCTAAGACGTGCGTGGAATAAACTGAAAGGCCTACCGTCTGAGAAGAACAAAAAAAAGAATCTGAAGAAAATGAGAAACAAGAAAATGGAGAGGATGAAGATGATGAAGATGCGTTGTCACTAGAGGAAATAAGAAAAATGATTGTAAAAATTCCTGGTTGTACAGAAGTAAGTGCTGAAGATGTAGGAGAGTGGATGGCTTGTGACACGTCTGACCCTGGTTTTCAAATTCTCAATGACGATGAAATTGTTGAAAGTGTGAGAGAAGATGTTGAAGTGGAAGTGGGAGAAGAACTTTCTGCTGATGTTGAAGTAGACGCTGGACCATCAGCTAGTGAAGCATTTGCCGGCCTCGAGACTGCTTTGAAGTGGATGGAGCGTCAGCCCGAGTGTGACCACTTGCAACTGCTCACCGTCAAGCGAATGCGTGACCTGGCTGCCCGAAAACGGATGAAGAACGCAAAACAGCTTACATTGACGGAGATGTTTAAAAAACAATGATTTTTATTTCTAAACTTGTACATATGTATGTACGTACATACATTTTATGTATTTTATGTATGTATTTATATTTAAAACATGTGAAAATATCATGTTTCTTTCATTTAATTCAATAAAAAAAATAGTGCAATATCAAAACGTAGCATTTTTCTCTCCAATGGCAATTTTTAAAAAAAAAATCCGATTATCCGAATATTTGATTATCCGAATGGGTCCCGGTCCCCATTAATTCGGAAAATTGGAGTTCTACTGTATAAGGTAAATGCCTTCACAAGATCAGTGGTAGATCAAGGTTATTTGAGTCATGAAAAACGTCTGTTACTGGTACTTTGCAAGCATTGTGGAAACTCCTTTTTCGATTCTTGATTATAGGATTGTGAATATTTTTCTGTTTTACCCCTGAACTCATGAACTCACCTCTCATTTTAATTGAACATTTATTTTCAAAACAGATAGGTTTCGGTTTCCTTATCGCTTGTTAGGTGATGAGGTAATGACGATAATCTACCAGTCTGTACCTTTTGTATGCATGAAAATTAATTCAGGGCAAGCGGAGTAAGGGATGAGGATGTATCTTCGTAATCATAGGCAACCCAAATCTACGCCTCTCATATATGTATGATTGATATGGGACATAAGGGGTCGTTCAAGTATTACGTAAGCAGATTTATTACAACTATTTACCCCCCCATCCCCCTTGTCAGCAAAAGTAAGCAAAGCTCTTACCCCCTCCCCCCATGCTTACGTAAACATTTGTCATTTACTGTATTTTTTTTTTGAATATTATAATTATAACGTTATAATTATAATTTGAAAAATAAGAACATAGATTTAGGATAGAGATTATATTTTACTGATACGGTATTCAAAGGACAAAACTATTATATCTTACTAACATAACAAACTTATTTTAAATTTTTGGTACATATATTAAATTCAAATTAACAGTCTTCAGTCCATGAAACCCGAATTCATGATCCTAAGTTTTCGATGACATTAGATTGCTTCGATTGCTGGTCAGTGTTGTGAGTTTGCTCGCTTTCATCGAATTTTGGAATGTCTACGACGCTCTCATCGAACCATTCAACATCATGGTGCTCTAAATTTTGAATAATGCACATCAGTTCATTAGCACGACGAGCAGCGACTCTTACAGGTCTAACTTTCCTATTTTCGATGTGACGATTTAGTGACTTGACGGAAGCATGATAAAGACCACACATTTTGCATGTTCGACTTGATAGCCTCAATTTTTCCGTCGGACAAAAATAATCGTAGGGCATTTGCAGGAAATCTTTGAGTGAAGCACTTAAGCGTAGAGCTAAAGTGACTGCAAGATTAAGAAATTGCCCTCCTTCATCCAAAACCAAGTCATCTACTGTTTGTTTTACTTTTACAGGTGGTGGAAGAAACCTATTGTCTAGTAATCTAAATAGGTCACGTCTTGGGCGACAGCATGCTGTATTTCTACATTTTACAATTTGAAGCAAGTATTGGCTCTCACGAAGATCTTGTCCACCTGCCCCAACATATTTTGCATTAACATTATAGCCATCAATTTCCATTGAACTCCATACTTCAGCTAATACATTTCCTGCAAATTCGAAATTAGATCTTTCTAAATGTTCATCGAAATGAGACCCAAAATGGTCATGAGGCAATATTAAACCAGAAAGTTCCCGACTAAGAGGAGCCATTCTGCGCACTACTCTGTTATACGCACTTCTTCCAGGAGCATTGGTAGCTAAAAACAATGCATCGAGATCATGTCGCTTAAGTGTTGTATAGCAAACCCTATGACTTTTTGATAACGTGGATTTTCATCTGGTCCTCCATCAACCGTCATGATTACCACTGGTTTTACTAGTCCATAGTCAGTTTTAGCTAATGGTCGAAACTCTTCAAGTTCGAGAAGCGTCTCGAAATCCTGAGCACGAGTATTAGCAGTAGATGAACTATGCTTTCCACTTCCAGCGATGTATGTTGGTCCAGAATATCCAACAGCTTGCGGTTGTCCTAGCATATTGGAAGTGATTTTGATACCAGCATAAACAGATGGAATAAATTTATGACGCTCAGCGATTACCCAATCGTGATCAGGCAATTTGATTCTATATTCCATGTGCACTAGAAGAGGTACTTGCTTATTTGCCGCAGTTACGCCAATAGGGGCTCGAGCTTTATCATCTTGAGATATGAAAAATACTTGATTTGGTCCAAGTATGGATGCTATGTTCTCTAAATAATGAATTGATGTTTCAGCGAACTTGCTATCTAAGTGGCTCTTGTGGTGATCAGTTTGAGCCCGAATGAGCTTAACAGGGACTGTCGATACATGTCTCCGTCCCTCTGCAGAATTAGATTTTCTGGGAATCAAACGAAGATATGTTCCACTGCGACTAATGTTAGATCCTATTTTACGTAATTCTTGTGTGAGTTCATCAAGAGTTTTTACGCTGCTAATTGATTCCGTTCGTCTTCTATCATCAGCTGCACTCCCAAATAACGCTATATCCGCGATTGTTTTCAATAGCGAATGTTGATTGCTTTCAAGATTAGGACGTCCCACTGAATTCCTCAGAGATAGTCTTTTTTTATTTCTGGATTTTCGTGACAAATATCTCTTAACTTTCTTTTCATACCATCCCTGTGTTTCTTCTGGGCAACTGCGCTTTGAACCTTCCTGTTTAAATACTGTTTTGCTGTTTTTATTTCCTCGCGCAACTTAATGATCTGTTTATCAACTTCAGCATGGCTTGGCATAGTATCTCTGGCAGAATACAAGGCATTCAGATTTTTTTCGAGTAGAGCAATCTTATTTTTCATAGCTTCCTGAGAAGGTTTTGCTCTCTGTTTATCTGTATTTACATTAATTTCGCATTGCTGTTGTGATTGATTACCGGGTTTTATTTTATCTTCTTCCTCATTTTTAATATTTGAAGCTGACTGTATAATTTGTGTTTTTTTCTGCAGGTTTACAGGGTTGCCTAAAAATAAAAACTTTCTATGGCTTCTGTTAAAGATTCTCATATTAAGCTACATAAATACAAAGTATGGCAATATATATGGTAAATACAAAACCCTATGGCTTTAAATCTAATATGTTTAAACGAGCAATTCGTTCCGGTCACAAAATACAGGGTGTTAGTTTTCTGTATATATGTATAAAACTAACATCCTGTTACTTTGTGACCAATTGACAGAATCAATCATAAGAAATAAATCTATAATATAATGAATATTACCTCTATACTTTGAGATGGGCCATGATATTTTCTAATCAGTAAAGAGAAACTTTTTGGCGGTTTTTAATATTTCTAGTACTCATTGGTGCCTAAAATGATTTCGTAACTCACCTTAGAAAAAAAATTTAGTAGATTGGATTTATTCTTAGTCACCGCTTGCAATTCTTCTTCGATTCTCTTATATATATTAATATCTAGTTCCTTGTCGGATTTTGCTTGTAATTTGTAATTTCGCCTCACTTCGTTAACTAACTTTTGTACATTTTGTACTTTCGTACTTGTATGAGGTTTTTTAAAATTTTCAAACAATTTTTGGTATAACTTGGATTTGTCTATGTGAAACGACATCTTATTTATACATTAAACTTCGGCTAATGGAATCAATGGTAACACAAATGTTAACTTGCTTTACTATGCTTACAATACGTCCACTCGCTATAGTATCCAAACGAAACAATACACTGATAGAGGAAATTTAGACAAGTGAACACCGCGCGGTAATTCCCCTACTCGGTTCTAAAGCGAGTAGACGAATTACTGCGCACTGTTCACTAAACGTATGCATTATTTGCGGAAATCCCCGAAAATGCGTTTCGTTTTCAAGCAAAGACAATGTGAGGGTTGCCATTCGTGTAAAAAAGTAAATAACTACCGATGACGTAATCATCATCTAGACTCCCCTACCCCCCATGCCATCCAAAATAAGCAAAGCTGCTAGCTTTACGACATACATTTGAGTATTTCTTAATCGCTGTAAATACAGCGTGAATGTTTGCTCAGTTTCTGAACAACCAAAAAATATCTGACTATGAATGTATGGATATTAAAAATTTTGATTGGTTTTGTGGGAATATCAATCGACGGTGCTATAATGGTACTGATAAACGGCAAGTAAATGAATGAATGTTTGGAAACGAGCAATATCTATGAAATTTTTGGTAGAGCCTGTTATCAAGTGGCTTAATGGCTATCTGCAAGAGGTTTATAGGAAAAAACACACGGTAGGTGATGTTGAACCAGTAAAATCGCATATCAATTGAAGATAATATAAACATGAGTAAACAATCCACAATATTAAATAAAAACATGAATTTTATTCAAAAATCGATCACTTTTTTAAATTTTGACTAAATTATATGTAATTTCTTAATATTCAATAAGCTGGTGATGTTCCAATGACAAGCTATCATCTCATACTTTGACAGTATTTTGTTTTCAACATTCCATAGCTATTGGTTGCTAAAATTTGTTGTTTGGAACTTGAAGCTCATTCGCTGAATTTAACGGACTCTTACCCTATAGTTGGGAATAACGGACTGTTGATTAGACAATCCACCCTTAGAATACATAGTTTGCTAACTATCCGTTCCCAAATTAT